TTATTCCTAGATATTTTATATTTTTAGTAGCTATTGTAAATGGTATTGTTTCCCTCATTTCTTTTTCAGGGTAGAGGAATCCAACTCATTTTTTTATGTTGACCTTGTATCCTGCCACTTTGCTGAACCTCTCTATTAGTTTTTTGCTGAGTCTCTTAGGTTTTCTATGTATAGGATCATATCATCTGCAAATAGAGGCAGCTTTACATCCTCTTAGAGGCACCAAACTCTTACTCACCAACTTTGGGGCTTCTGGCCTGTGCCTGATACCTTGCTATTGGAAGGCCCTCAGAGGTCACCTATAACGATCACTCACCCCTACCACATGGCCTATAATTCATTTGCCTGACTCATGGCCAACACCAAATTCCTGCAGACCCCTGAAAATGGCCAACTCCATTTAGCAAACTTAGCAAACTGTGGCCTTCCCTTGCCTTCTTCCTCTCCCAGATCCATCAGCAGGGTTGTGGCCATGAATCTGACCATGGTACCCCTCCACAGCCATCACCTTGTCTAGTGCCTGCCCCAGTGTATAGTGGTTGCCTCAAGGGCCTCCTTGCTTTCCTTAAGTCCTTGAGAGGCAGCTACAGGGGTCTGTAGCCCCTGTAGGCATCAGGCCCCAGCCCCTGCCCCCACTGTATGCCTTTTTTCCAGCCCCTTTGGCTTCCTGTTGCTCCTTTGTCCCCAAAAAGGACCTACTCCTTCTTACTATTCAAGGTGAACCCAAATGTCACCTCCCTCCCCAGACAGGTCCCCTCTACTATGCCCCAGGTTGCTGACATACCTTGAGAGCAGATACAGGCAGCCTTATTGTTGGCCACCCTGGCTCCCTGGGCACAGGACGGCTGGGCCTGTGGGTACTGCTATCTCAGCTCTAAGTGCAAGGGCAGAACCATCTGGGTGTACCCTGGCTCTAGTGCCAGGCCCTTATCTAAAGGAAGCAGTAGTTGTCACCCCAAGGAGTGCGGGCAGGAGGAACCCAGGGCTGAGAGGGCCTAAGTCTGAGTCCCATGTGATCTCAGGCCCAGGGGTCTAATCTGTCCTTGGGACAATCATTACAACCATCTCCCTCCTGAGGCCCTGAGAGTCAGATCCAGATCTCAGAATGGGGGCCCCTCCCTAGGTCTCCCCAGCCCAGGGCCCTCCACTCTCCTCCAATCCCAAGGAAGTTGAGCCTTTGACAACAGGGCACCAGGAAATGACCACAGAGGCGGAAATAGAGAAGAGAAAGTAGGCACGTGTAGAAGAGGCTCTGCTCCACCAGTCCCAAGAGGAAGGTAGCAGAACAAAATGTCCATTGTACAGATGAGAAAACTGAGACAGAGGTAAAGCCAAACCCAAGTCCCTGCTTCCCCTCTTCCTGTAGAAAGTGGGATACTCCAACTCATAGACAAGGACAAGGCAGGCCAAGGAGGCTTGGAGGATGGGGATTTCCTCTGGCTTCCTCCAATGTTCAGATGACAAGGCCCTCATAATGGAGACCTAGCGGCTACATTCTGGCTAGATGCCTCCTGGCTGTGCAACTAAGTTTCTCAGTCTCTAAAATGGTGATAATATTAGCTAATGTTTAAGAAACTGGCTGAGACCCTATGGCAGCAAATTCCTTCAACATCTGTCCAGAACCCAGAGTTTCTCCTTGCCCCCACTCCTACTGTGCAGACTGACACAATAACCACTAATGGCATCACCAGGGGGTTCAAGCAGTGCTGATTGCACCTTCTGATACTGTCACTAAAATGATCCCAGGGTCCACAAAGGTAGCTGCGGGCAGCAGTACCACAAATGGAAGGACTGCCAAGGCAGTGATATCACTAGGACGGGTGATCATCATTCAGCCAGTGCAGTACCTTATCACTATCACCCTCCCAACCCCCACCCTTGTCCATCACCAGCCAGTCAGTATGCAGTCAGGCACAGCCATTGAGCAAAAAGGAGGGTCTCTGCCTTTGCCAATGGCAGAAAAGAGGAGAAGAGCTATGGGGAGCTGCAGGAGGGGGATGGGGGCAGGACAGGTTGGGAGGTTTGCCTGTGTTTGACATGGAGGTAGCAGGGCAGGGCTGGGATGCTCCCATTCACCAAGGGGGTACTCTGGCAGGTCAAATGACACCATGAGCTACTACACTGAGTGATACCAATCCTACTGACACCACTGGTAGCCACCTCCCTGCTTTGTCATGTTTCCAAGGCCCTGCACCCTTCTCCCTTGCCCCACTATTTCTCTCACCTCACACCTTTCCAGTTCAGCCCATCTGCCTCCCTGCTGCTCTGAACACACACCTAACACCACAGGGCCTTTGCTTTTGTTGTTCTCTGCTGTTGTTCTTGCCTCTCTCATGCCTGAACAAAAGGCCACTGTCCCTGATTTTAATCCTTTCCCCAACACTCCCAGCCACAGGGCTTCACCTGTCTTGAGCATGGGTAGGTCCCCACAACCTAGAACTGTGCTTGACAAGCAGAAGGTGCTGGATAAATATCTGTGGGATGAATCCCAGCACTTCCACTTCAGCCCACAAGACCAAGGCAAGACACTTTATGTCTCCTTGCCTCCATTTACCATTTGTAAAATAGAAGAAGCAGCTTTCCTTCACCCTGCCCAGTGTTACATGAGGATAAATTAGTGATTCCAAGTGCATTGGGCCTAAAAAATAGCAAGTACTTAATAAATGCACCTCCATCACCCAGAACCAGAGCTTTCTGGAAGCTCCTCTGCCTAACTCTGGCTAGGGGTGGACCTGGGCATGCACCTGCCATGCCAGCCTGAAGTCCAGGGCACCTGGCCTCAAAGCCACAGTGCTCACATCTGTCCACTGGCATATGGCAAGAAGATGCCAGCCTCAAGGACTTATCTGGCAGCCCTCCAGCTAAGGCCGGAGGGCTCTAACACTGGATGGGTGCCTCTCTTATCCCTGGATACTTGCTCAGACTCAGCTTGGCCTGGCCCTGGAGAAGGCCTGAGTGGGCATGCCACCCCTGGCCGGAGGACCTGGAGGGGAGCTTCCAGCTCCACTTTACCTCTTGCCTCCCTGCCCAGACCTGACGGAGGTTTATGGGTAGCCACCAGAAGCCAGATCTGGGACAGGTCAAGCTAAGATGAGGCCAGCCTGTCTGGCCAGGTAGTGGTCACCTCTCATAAGCTGTTTCTTTGGCTGGAAAAGAAAGACACTCCAATGTTTCCTTTTTCTTCCTGATTGTTGAGCCCCTAACAAACCTCAGAAAGGAGGCTCTGACATTTTATACACAAACATACATCAGCATAGCAGAGTCTCAAGTGTCCTGGCTAGCTATGCCAGGGATAGCACCCACAGCACCACAGACTTGCTCTGACATGGAAAAACATGGGCTATAGGGTCAGTCCAGCCAGCTCTGAATTTCAATTCCAACACCATGTAAGCCACTTCCTCTGAGCAAGCCTATGTAGCCCAAGCCTGTTTACTCATCTGTAATGTAAGGTGACAATGCACAGGGATATTGTGACAAGGGTATCCACAAGGCAGTAGATAGATGTGGCAGGGCCTGGCCTGACACTCAGCACAGCCAGAGCAAGTCTGAGAAACGCCAGTGTCAGCTAGGGCAAGCCTAGCTTAGTCAGATGTGTCCCAACTCTGCCCCAAGTCCACTCTACGACTCAGGAGCCTCTCCCTTTTGGGGCCTCCATCTTCTCTGCTCTGAGATGGGCACAGTGGCTCCAAGGGCCCTTCCTGCAGGGACCCTCCCCCAGGAGGCCCAGCTGGGAAGGAAGAGAAATTATCAATGCAGAGGGTAAAGGGTGGGGAAACAACACAAGGAGCTCCTGCTCTTGATCCTTGATTTCACAATTCTATTTAGTAGCACTCCCCTCATCTTGTCTCCCAGGAGGAGGGGAATGTGGGCTAGGGAGTGGTGAGACCTTTCTCCACAGCAAACAGAACTTGCCCTCCCTCTGGTTTTAAAAATAATGATCAGTTTGTATTTATGGCCCACTCAGGTGCTGTTCTGAGACTTTGCTCTTTTTACTGCATTTCATCCTTTATAACCAGACAATTAAGTATGCACTGGTGTTATTTCCATTTCAGAGATTTAGAAACTGAAGCACAAAGAGATTTAGCCAAAGTCTCAGAGCCATCATCTCCTAAATACTCCCTCAATGGACAGAAGCCCCTCTTTCCCATCAGCCCTGTTGTTGTATGCCGTTGAGTCAGACCCGACTCATAGAGACCCCTCCTTGGGTTTCCCTCACTATGGAAGTAGATTGCCCCATCTTCCTTCCGAGGAGTGACTGGTGGGTTTGAACCGCCAGCCTTCTGGTTAGCAGTCAAGTGCCTTAGGCAGTAGGCTACCAGAGCTCCCTAGGTCCACCCAAATGATTCTCCAACCTCCACGGTGCAGTAAAGATAAAGTTCCCAAGAACAACAAGAAGCAATTTAACAGCTGGAAAGAAGGAGGGTGGGGCAGGTCACAGCTGACCCACTCTGCCGGATTTCAAACAGCAGCTCTCACCGGGGGTCAAACACTGGAAAACTATTGGGCTTGAGCAGGTGCGGGTCCTCCAAGGCTCTGAGGCAGGGCGATGGTGGTAAGGGACCAAAGCTGCCTCGGCCCTTCCTCTTTCTTTCCTGGGGACACTGCTTGCCGGCCCGCGCCACATCTGCTGCGCGAGGAGGACCTAACCGCCCTTTTGGCTCTGATGCTCCTCAGAGGGCATTTCTCCAGAGAAATCCTCCCCTTCAACCGCCCTGGCGCAGCGCGCTAATAGGACGCGCCCTCATTTAACATCCAATACAGGCTCCCGCACAGAAACGGCCCGCGGTGTCGCGGGACACAAAGCAGCGCTTCTTCCCTAGACAAAGGGGCGGGGTCCGGGAACCCTGGGGTCCAGAGACCGAAGGTCGGACACTGGAATCTCGGAGAACCAAGGCCAGGGGCCGAGAGGCGACGGAGCGGGCGCTCTAAGTAGAAGGCAGTCTCAGCAGTGCCCGCTCGGCTGCAAACAAAAGGCAGGGGGGCGGGCCAGGGCACATTACCGTTGAGCCGGACAGTGAATTGGCGGCGCCGGCGGTCGTGCTCCACGCGGATGGGGCAGCCCTGCTCCTGGGTGCCCGACGGCGCCGCAGCCGCGGAATGCGCCATCACTGCGCGCCGGGCGCCTCGGATCTGCGGCCGGGCGCTGGGCTGGCCGGCGTGGGGAGCTGTGGCTGGGGGTGAGGCGGACCTGCAGCAGAAGCGCAGAAACAGCAGGCTGCAGCGCTGAAACTGACACTCGGCAGCGGCCCCAGCTCCTGTAGCAGCAACAATAACAACAAAATAAATAAAAGAAAATCTTGGGGCCAGGAAATCAGCTGTGTAGTCACGTGCGGCGCATGGCCAGTTGGCGCGCTGGCCTGTTTTGATACATTCCACCCTATTCTTAAAGGGGCCATGCAACCCTGCAAGGCCGCCTCACGCCGGCTGCCTTTTCACCTGAGCTGGCCCCACAACAACTCTGTGTACCCACCCGAACCCCTTCACCTGTAGTGGCATCCTAGTTGTCGACAACACAGCCACCATTTATTAAGAACTTGTGAACATAACCAAGGCATAGTACACAGGAAACCCTTTAAGAACTCACCAGGCTTAAGTGCTTAAGTCTTAGGCACTGTGTGCTTGCAGATGAGGAAAGAGTAGACCAGGGGCCAGCAGAGAGATCCTGAGTCCGAGGTCACACATGGTTGGGACTGTGCTGAGTTTGGAACTTCGAAGCCCACCGAGTGCGAGTGCGAAGCTGGAGCTACTGAGAAAAGATTGTCACGAGAAGGCTTATGTGGGATGGCATGAGATGCCACAGGCAGAAGTGCAGGAAGAGGGTTTGGGCTTTCTGGATCCACTCCACAGAAGGAGAAACTAAGTCCCAGAGTGGGGCAGGGCCTTGCTTTAGAACACACAGGGTCGTCAGTCCCGGACTTCTTTTTTGAAAGGGGAGACATGATTATTGTTGTTGTTGTTATTTGCCCTCGAGTGGGACCCGACTCATAGCTACCCCTGCTTGGCTTTCCGAGGCAGTATCACTACAGAAGTAGATTGCCAACCTTCCTTCCCAGGAGTGGCTAGTGGGTTTGAACCACCAGCCTCCTGGTTAGCAGTCAAATGCCTTAGGCCCCTCCAAACTCACTGAAAAATCTAAACCGTTTGTTCTCTTGCTGGCAAAGTTCTCACCAACAGCTTTGAATTGAGTCACCAGAGCTCCCAAACGGAGTCATGTTGTTGTTGTTTGCCGTGGAGTCGGCACCGACTCATAGCGACCCCTCCTTGGGTTTCCGAGGCAGTATCACTACGGAAGTAGGATTGCCCAACCTTCCTTCCGAGGAGTGGCTGGTGGGTTTGAACCGCCAGCCTTCTGGTGAGCAGTCAAGTGCCTTAGGCACTATGCTACCAGAGCTCCTTAATAGAATATATATATTTTAGTGTCTGTTTCTGCTCAATATTTTATCTATGACATTCATCCATGTTGTGTTATTTCATTACTGAGCAGTAGACTATTGTGTGCATATACCACAATGTATCACATTCATCTCTTGATGGGCGTTTGTGTTGTTTTTAGTTTTTTACTATTAGGAGTAAATCTGCTATGAACATTCTTGAACATGTTTTTTGGCATCAATGTTATAGCATTCCTCTTGGGTACAGACCAAGATTGGATTGCTGGGCCTTGGAGTAGTGTATTTGAGGCAGTGGTGGTTAAGGAGCCCTGATCACATAGTGTCTAAGGCATTTGACTGCTACCCAGAAGGTTGGTGTTTCAAACCCACCAGCCACTCCGTGGAAGGAAGACTGGACAATCTACTTCTGTAAAGATTTACTGCTTCAGAATCCCAAAGAGGATCACTGTGAATCAGAATCGACTTGATGGGAGTGAGTTTGGTTTGGTTATTTGGTGGTTAAGTGGTAGAATTCTCCCTTTCCAGGCAGAAGATCTGGGTTTAATTTCCAGCCAATGCACCTCATCTGCAGCTACCACTCACCCATCAGTGGTGGTTTGTGTATTGCTATGATGCTGATCAGGTTTTAGTGGAACTTCTAGACTAAAATGGACTAGGAAGAAAGGCCTGGTGATCTGCTTCTGAAAATCAGCCATTGAAAACTATATGGATCACAACAGACCAACCCAAACTGATCATGAGTATGGTGCAGGATTGGGCTTCCTAAGCAATAAGCAAAGCCTTTAAGCAAGCAAAAATTACATTGTTCTCTGAAATTGTTTACCAAGTAATTTTCTCAGGGCACAATAGAGACACAAGCTACATTCCTGATGCATGGGATTGCCATGAGTTGGGAGCAGATTCCACAGCAGCTAACAACAACAACAACAGAGTTATATATGTTTAGCTTTATGTGGAACTACCAGATCTTTTTTCAAAATTGTTATACCATTTTACATGCCTACCAACAATTTTGAGTTTCAATTGTTCCACATCCTTACCAGCATTTGATGTTGCCAGTCTTTTTCGTTTTAGCCAGCCTGGTGTGTAAAGTAGTATCTCATTTTGGGTTTAATTTGCATTTCCCTGATGTCTGATACTGTTAAGCCTCTTTTCATGTACTCCTTGACCATTTGAATATCTACTTTTGTGAAATGAATGTTTAAGTATTCTACCCATTAAAATTTATTATTATTATATTATTTTACTCTACCCATAAAAAAATAAATAATTTTTTTTCCTTATTGGAGTTTATTTCTTTTTTAATAGAATTTGGATATAAGTCCTTTGTCAGATGCATGTATTGAGAATATCTTCTCATCGCAGATCATTTTTCACAGGTGTGTGCTCTATCAGAGTGTTTGGAGATCAAACAACGCTGGGCAGTGAGTCATCACATAGGAGGGGGGTGGAATTTACCTCAGCTGAGTCAGGGCTGGCTGCAATTCTGAGCAAGCAAGATGTGACCTCTTACCAGGTAGATGTCTTAGGTAACTTCTCCATTTCCAACGAACTTGAGTGGGGAAGCTAGGACAAGTTCCTAGAAATGCCATAATATGGGTCATGCTGTTTTCTACCTTTGGGCCTTTACATGTCCCAAACATCACCTCCTCTGGGAAGCCCTAATCTCTGAAGTCACCTATTACACTATATCAAAGTTGTCTCCCAAGCCAGCCTGGGTCCTGGGAGTGTTCCTCTCTGAGTAACAAGAGCTCAGGACTCACCCTGTGGTTTGGCTCCCTTCTTTCTTCTTTACTTCTAAATGTCTCTTAACTTATTGAGGGTTTTATTTTATTTTCATTGTGGTTTAGGTGATGTTGAGGGCTTTAAACCTTGTAGAAATCATTTTTGGAACAAGGCAGCAGATCAAACAAAACAGTGAGCAATTACTGTTTGCTGAGTTGAATGGATTCACCAATGTCATAGAGCAAAATGGCAGAGTCTGGTTGACATTAAAAGTGACAAGCTTTTATTGAAAAGCAAGATCATTTTCAAATTGGGAATCACAAAGTCCAGAAGATGCTGAACTAAGTGACCCAAGGAGTAAATAGTTCACAGAGCTTATATAAGAGAATACATGGAATTTCAGTGAAAATTCAGTGATTGGTTGACATTTAGGTAATAGTTACAAAATTGGAGGATGCTAGTCAGACTGGTAGATTACATGTGTTTCTAAAGTTATTTTTTAAATCAGTTACAAAGTTATCATCAAATTGGGTATATCTGCTCTGGAAACAATTATAAGACCCTTCTGGTATGTCTATGGGAGCCCTGGTGGTGTAGTGGCTAAGGCATTTGACTGCTAATCAGAAGGCTGGTGGTTCAAACCCACCAGCCACTCCTCAGAAGGAAGACTGGGTAATCTACTTCCGTAGTGATATCGCCTGAGAAACCCAAGGAGGGTTCTCTATGAGTGGGATCCGACTCCACAGCAGTTGAGTTTTGTTTTGATTTGGTTTGTCTATAGGGAGAACATGCATAATTCTAAAGTTTGAGTTCTGGTTTGGACTTGGTTTCCTAAGCAGCAAGCAAAATCTTTAAGCAAGCAAAAGTTACATCGTTCTCTGAAATTGTTTACCAAGTAATTTTCTCAGGGCACAATAGAGACACAAGCTACATTCCTGATGCACAGATTACTTTTGGTTTTTTTAATTTATTTTTATTGTTATTTGGGTGAAAGTTTACAAAGTAAATTCATTTTCCATATAGCATTTCATACACATTTTGTCTCCTGACATAGACTACAATTCCCCACAATGTAACAGCTCTCTTCCCATTTCCTCCCTGTAGTTGCCTCTTCCCTGTGTCCTTCCCTCCCATGTACTCCCACCCCCCAAGCTGTGTCCCTGTGCAAACACTGCCCTTCTGTTCTACTTTGATTGATTGCTCCAAGGAGTGTATCTATCATGTAAATGTTCACCCTATATACCTGTCTATTGTTTGGCTGGAAGCCACAGGAATAAGTTCAATTCCAGACATGAAGGGTGGTGAGGGGCCATAGTTTCAGGGGTCTCACCAGGCTCACAAACCTGGTCTGTTTGTTGTTTTTTTTTTTTTACTGATTTTGAGTTTTATTCCACGTTGTTCTCCCACTCTATCCAGGATCTCCTGAACCAATCCCCCTCCAAGTGGTTGACATTGGTAACCAGGCACCAACTAGCTCTTCTGGTCTCATGGTCATATAAGCTGAGGATCATCACATAGTCTACCAGTCCCTTGGACTAATTATTTCAAACATCTTTTGTTTCTTCATTCTTCTTTGCTCTGGATGAGGAGAGACCCATCATTGCATCTAGAGGGCCAGTTGCAAGCTTTTAAGATACCAGTCACTACTCACCAAAGTAGGATGTAGAACAAAGTTTTTGTGTAATATGTTATGTCAATTGAGCTTGATGTCCCCACTGATGCAGAGATTACTTTTGATTCAAAATGGGATTTTAGCCTCATACCTTTGCATAGCCACCATGTCATAAGTTACCATTCTAAGAATTTGGAGTGCTCTTACTCACCCTGCCCGAAGCCTGTGCATGCCAGTCCTAGAGAAGAACTCTGGGAAGGGGCACTGAATGAATGTGACCCCAGAAGCCACCCTGTGTCAGAGAGCAAAGTCCCAATAATCTTTGAGTGGATAGGCCCCCGGTGCTAAAAGCCCATATGGCTGAAAGCCGACATGGA